CCAGATTTCCAACCAAGGCAACAAATCACCGTTGCCCGACTGAAGCAACAGACAGGAGCACTCAGCAGTCTTTCATGAAGTCAGACATCAAAAAGTTTTGTAAAAATTTTATATTTTTGTAAAAATATAAAACAATGCTGCCTTTCTCACTTAAATCTATTTGTTGGGAGAGGGGGGAAATAGTTATTTTTCATCACAAATAATTGTATTTATGTTAACATGTGATGGGCTTATTATTGTTATTTTACAAAAAATTACTGAAGATTCAAACACGCTTTTTTTTTTTTAAAAAAAATTGAATTTATTGGGGTAACACATTGGTTAATAAAACTATATAGGGTTCAGGCATACAGTTCTATAATGCATCATCTACATATTGTCCTGTGTGTTCACCACCCCAACTCAAACTTCCTTGCTTCACCATTTATCCCTCTTCACTTCCCACCCCCTCTGTCTCCTGGCAATCACCATACTGTTGTCTGTGTAGACATGTTTCCAGTTTTCTTTCTAAAATAGGAAATAATGATAGATCGGAACCTTATCAACAAAAGCTCTTTGGGGTCCTCAATTGTGTAAGATCATAAGACAGTCCAGAAACCAGAAAGTGTGAGAAATACTATCCTAAAAAATAAACAGACTGATAAACACAGATCTTTAGCCTGGTGTTATAGAACGGCAAACACGAAAAGAAAAAAGTGGGAATGACTTACTAGTAAATATCCAATGATAGGGAAGTGGCTAAATAAATGATGGTGCCTCCATTTGGTAGAACATTATGTGGTCATTAAAAATTATGTTTTCCAAGAGTATTTATTGTTGTGGGGAAATGCTCAACACATTCAACATGCCATTAAGTGATTAAAAAAGGGAAGATGCACCCTAGCGTGTTTGCTCAGTAAACATGACTTACTAGTAAATATCCAATGATAGGGAAGTGGCTAAATAAATGATGGTGCCTCCATTTGGTAGAACATTATGTGGTCATTAAAAATTATGTTTTCCAAGAGTATTTATTGTTGTGGGGAAATGCTCAACACATTCAACATGCCATTAAGTGATTAAAAAAGGGAAGATGCACCCTAGCGTGTCTGCTCAGTGAACAGAGCGTCAGCCCATAGACTGAAGGGTCCCAGGTTCAATTCTGGTCAAGGGCATGTATCTCGGTTGCAGGCTCGATCCCTAGCTCTGGTAGGGGCGCATACAGAAGGCAACCAATCAATGTGTCTGTCACATAAAGGTTTCTCTCTCTCTCTCTGTCCCGCCTCCTCCCTTCCACTCTCTTAAAAATCAATGGAAAATATCCTCTGGTGAGGATTAACAACAACAACAACAAAAATAATAATTAAAAAGGGAAGAAGCAAATTTTCATGATCATCATTTGTATAGCGCCTTGATTATCGGAGGAATCAGTGACTGAGGGGGGCCTGGAAAAATCAACAGGTACCCCAAGGGGTCCCAGGGGCTACAAGCTTACCACATGTGTGGAGCTGGGGTCATGCAGGCACTCAGGTATGTACATACGTGTACACACACACACACACACACACACACACACGCCCTTCTTTCCTAGACCATCACTCATTGCTTCTGCCCGTAAAACTCACAGGGAGATCAAAATCCTAAACCAAACATTCCCAGACTCATCCCCACAGCAACAAAGGAGCCTTCTAAATGCCATTCTCCCCAAACTCGATTCGTTTTGTTGCTCTGATTTGGAAACCTGGGCTGACATTTCGGGTGTCTGAGTTCCTAAGCCTTATGTGCTGGAAAATTCGGGTCTCCTCAGCCCCAAACCAAAGACTGGGGGACAGCCAGTGGGGACCTGCCAGGCGTCTTTGGGGGCTTTGCGTGTTCCCGCCGCGGGGACACCGGCTGTTAACGAGTGTCGCCCAACAGCTGCCGCTGGCTTGGCTGGTGCATTTATTCTCGCTCTCCTCATTATGGGCATGTAAATCCCTTCTCATGCCCTGCCTCCTTCTGCCCACATCTGTCTGCAATCGGCGCACCACGTGCTGTGGCCGGGGAGGAAGCATCCGATTTAAGACCGTGCGGAATGCCAGGCAGGATGCTCGGGCGGCGGAAGGTGCCCAGGCACTGCTTTTCAGGAACACGGCTCACCCTGAGCTCAGCTGGGCCCGAGGCCTCTCAGGTCTGGGCCACCCCTGATGGGAATCGGGAGACCAAATCTCCAAGCAGGTCCCAGGAGGTCTGCCAAGCCCCCTCGAAGGCAATAATCATTAAGTATTTGCACTAATGGTTCCAGGCACTGGGCCAAACACTTGATATCTCATTTAATCCTCACAACAACCCTCTGGAGTGGCTACTATTATTAGCCCCAATTACAAGGAAAGCAGGTACTGTTACTGTTACCCTCAGTAAGGGAACTCTGGTTCAGAGAGGTTAAGGCATTTGCCCAAGGTCACAGAGCCAGTAAGCGGACGAGCTGGGATTCAAGCCCAGATCTGATCCCAGAGCCTCCAGGCCCCGTTGCCCCATCTCTCTTGTCCAGGATTAGAAGACGCAGTGTGCGGTGCAGTGGGAAAAGTGCCTCATTTGGGTGTCTCCCTCTGTCAAAGGGGGTTCCCACCTCCCAGCAGGACTGGGGTGAGTGGTAGGTCAAGCGCTGAGAACAGTGCTGGCGCACAGTAGGTGCTTGATAAAGCGTTCCTTTAGTGAACGCTGACAAGTCCTCGCTGATGAGACCTTGGGGGGCAGGTAAGAAATCCACGCACAGAGTCAGGGAGAAACGCCTGCCCGGCGCTACCAGCCAGCTCTCACCGAGGGAGCAAGCACGGCCCTGTCACTGTCACAGACATCCTGTCATTTAGTTCACCACGACTGTCCCGGGTTTGGAGAGGGCAGCTGTCTGTCCCAGGGGCTGGGGGTGGGTACCTGAGCCTCTGCTCACTCCCCTGTCAGCTCCTTTGGGCCCCAAGGGGCAGCTGAGAGGTTTTTCCACCCCCCACACGTCCTGAGGGCAGATATGGGTGAGAATTCCATCCCTGGCCAAGGACAGGGAGGGCAGGTTTATGGTCCCGGCAATAAATACTTGGCAAAGGTGGTTGAGATGGCTGCTTCCCGAGACAGTCCTGACTCTCCTCAGGTTCTCAACAAAGCTTAGCGAGGCCAGGGGACCTAGCTCCACCACCGGGGCCTGAGGCACCTCCTGGGGGCATCGCTGGGACTGGGCCTGTCCTGGGCAGGGAAGTGGGAAGCTGGGAGGGAGGGCGGCTCCCGCAGATCTATCGGCCTGGATGCTGGATGGTTGCTCACAGAGAGCATGCGTGCTTGGCACCGTACTTCCCGGCCATGCAGCGCCAGCTGGACCGTGACACAGGCCACCTGCCCACCACGGCCTGAGGAGACCACCCAGCACGCTGTCTCAGTGACCCCACGGGAACTCAACCCCAGCAGAAAGGGGCCTCCCTGCCTCTAACAGTGATTTGTTTTGCTGAAAGAACGCACACATTCAGTGCTGAAACATCTGGGTAAGGAGTCAGCCTCGAGGACGTTTTCCCAGACTCCCCCGGGGGACGGTCGGTGGGTGCTGGACGCACAGCCTGCTTGGCCCGTGTGCGGGCGCTTGCTGCTCACCTCTCCCCTCTGGTCAGGGAGACCCGCAATGACAGAGCCCACTAACTGCCCAGCAAAATCCACTCCCCTCCCCCGCCCTCCACCAGTTAGCCGTGTGGCCTGGACGGGGACGTCCAGCTGGAAATGACATGGCCCAGCAGCCCCTGCAGCCCGGCCTCGCGACCAGTGCTGCCGGAGGGAACCTCTGGCCCTCAGTTCCGGCTCTTCCCCTGGGTCTCTCCCAGGTGGGGGAGCAGAGGCGCCCCCCACCCTGAAAGGCTCCTCAGATGGTTAAAGGAGAGACAAATAGATTCGTTAAGTCCCTCTTTTGGGGTTTCTGCTACAGCAGCCCGGAATCAATCTGAGTAATTAACCTGCTTTGGCTTCAAAAATAAAGTCCTCGGAGAGTATTTATGGTTCTGGTAACTGGTAAGTGGAGAGCAGGCTGCGAGTTTTATTGCCTGTTTTCCCCCAGGAGAAATGGAGACACCTGGGGAGCACAAGCAGATGGAGGCAGACCCCCCGCCCCCTCTCTCCCCTAGCGCTCGCGTGGAGAGCGTGGAGCCCTGTCTGGGGAGGGCTTCCCCTTTCTCAAACACCTTGAGACCCCTCCCCACCGCAGAGTGTGCAGGGGCTGCTAGAGAGACGGGCACGCAGCTGCTGGCATCCCGGCAGCTCCAAGGAGAGCAGGCTGACCACGTGGGCCCACTGGCCTCCTCGTTTCCTACAGCAGCTGCTGGTTACGGGTCAAGGTCCCTCCTGGCAAGAGACCACCTGGGCACCGACGCCACATCTCTCCCAACCCCTCCCCCTGCCCAGGGCTGGAGGCTGAACCCACTCGAGAGGACCTCCAGGCAACTTAAGAGGAGGACTGAGTCCCGCCTGGCTCTCCCAACCCCTCCCCCTGCCCAGGGCTGGAGGCTGCCCCACTCGAGAGGACCTCCAGGCAACTCGAGAGGAGGACTGAGCCCCGCCTGAGGGCCACCGTGGTGGGTGAAGTGCAGGGGACCGGCCCGCCTCCAGCAGAGAACCCAACACACGCGCGCACCGTCCAGGGAGGGGAGGTGCCGAAGGGCCCCGAGGATGCTGGCAAAGAGGAGACCCACTGCCGGGTCAGCACCTGGTTCAGCAAAGATGCCCACCCACCTGCCATACACACTTCGGGGGAAGCAGCTCCACAACCGGCCAGGATGGGGAACAGGGTTGGTCACAACGGGAGGAAGGGGTGACATATGTGCCCAGTCCTGCAAGAGGCAGCTTTCCACCCCAACAGGCACAGGGCAGCTGCGGCTGGGGGTCCGGGCACTGGGACCCCGTATCCATGTCACTCCCCCCGCAGAGGCTGGACCCCGGTTCCCCAGAGCCCCTGTGGCCTGCGCCCCAGCCCCAGGCGAGGGAAGGAGGGGCCACGCCGCCTCGTCACTCACCCTGCAAGGCCTCTTTGGCTCTGGCCAGCTCCTGCTCCTTCTGGGCCAGCTGCACCCTGAGCTCGGTGGCCGAGAGGACCTCGGCGGACTTGCCGCCCTGCGACTCCTCCAGGTCCTTCGTCAGCATCTCCTTCATCTGCCGGAGCAGGTGGACTTCCTCCTGCAGCCGGGACACCTCTTCCCGCAGCAGCCCTAGGGGAGAGGCACAGGTTAGAGGACGGGCCGCTCGCTCGCTCAGGCCGCCCCCTCTTTCTGGGGAAGGTTCCAAGGTGCTTGGGCTTTTCCTGTTTGCTCCTCCTTCCGGGCCTTTCCTCCATGTGAGCAAACAGAAACCCCCAAAGCCACTATCTTTTCCAAAGGACCGGGATCTGGTCCTGGGCCCACCCCCAGCCTGCAGAGCGCTCCTGGTGGGACCCCCACACCCCACATACTCTCTAGGGCTCCACAGCTGCTCCACTGCAATGGCCGGCGGCTTCCCCCCTCCCAAGGAGGAGCAAGAGGGGCCTGAGAGGGGCGGGAGCCAGCAGCACACGCAGGTGAGCGGAATACGCGTGATCCATTGAATCCCACCAACACCTCCCGAGGCAGGCACCGTCCTAGCCCCCACCTCACAGATTAGGAAGTTGAGGCTCCACAGATTAAACAGCTCCAGGAGGTGACAGTTGGCAGGTAGCAGAGCTGGGATGTGAAGCCAGGCCTGGCCGACGCCAGGGCCTGAGCCCCCAGCCTGACATGCGGGAACCGGCCCTAAAAAGGCTCACTCAACACGTCTCATAAAACACCTCGCCACCAGGAGCCCCGAAGAAACAGGACGTGGGCCCTCGCACCGGAGGGTGCAGGGAAACGGGTGCTCAGGAGCAGTACCCACGGCAACACCGGGGGCGGAGGGTCTGCGGCACGAAACCCAACCCTACATGCCGAGCACCCGGCACGAGACCAAGGAGCGCGCAGCGTCCCTTGGCCTGGAGCCTGGGGACGGTGCCAGGTGCCCCTTTGTCCCGCAGGAGCCCTCAGCCAGCTCCGGCCTGCAGGCTGACCGACACCCGCACGCGGGTCTGCTGCCCTGAGCCAGACACTGCGCTGCAGGGGGTGCCGCACGCAGGGGTAAGCGGCCTTGCTTCGCGGCACACACCTCGGCAACGCTAACCCTCAACAGAGCGCACACTCGTGGCCACAATGCTCACCTCGTGGACTAAAGGAGGTCTGGCCCTTGTAGCAGGCCTGGGACCCTAGCCTCCGACTACACCACGTACTCAACCACCGCTCTGTCCCCTTCCCCAGCCTCCGCCACCCTGGCCCTCGCTCTGCAATGTGCCAAACGCTCTCAGCACCTGGAGCACCCTTTCCGTTCTTCCTCACCGTGAGGCAGGCCCCAGCAACCCCTCGGAGGGGTGTCTCTCACCAGCCCCTCCCACTGCCAGGGGGTCGGGGTGCAGTCCCGCCTATGACACAGTTTTCATGTTACTGGGCCTCCGGTCTGGCTCCCCCACTGGCCAGGTATGTGGTCACAAGCAGGTCCCTCCCCCTCCGAGCCTCAGGCACCCCATCTGTAAAATGGGTCCGGCCCTCATTGGGTGGAGTGGCTCCAAGGAGACACAGAAGGAAGCCCTCCTACAGCAGCTCGGCCCACAGGGAGTGCTCAGTATCGATGAGGCACCTGTACTCCTCAGGGATCCTGGGCCTGGAGGTGGAGCCAGGTCTGGGGGTGGGGGACAGGCTGAGGGGGGCAGAGCTGAGGCCTTGAGGACAGGTGGTTTGGATCCCGGCCCCGGTTCCCACGTCCCCCTTACCACTTCCTCCGAGGCCACCTGGGTCCAGCTACCTGTGCGAGCAAGGCCTCCCTGCCCTCCCAGCGCCTCCTGAACTCCCTCCATCCCCCCCACAGAAGCCTTGGGCCCCCATAATGCAGAGCACGTCCCCTGACCCCTCGGCTGAAACCCTCCCTGGCTGCCCGGCCCCCTGGACAGCGTCCCCAAGGCCACAGGGTCTTCCAGCCCCGGGAGGTGCAGACTCACGGCGGCCGGAAGAGCCTCCTTCCTTCCTGTCAGCTGGTGTCAGCCCACTGTCCCCCCTGCCTGCTGCCCAACACTGACCACCTGCACGAACCTCTCATTATGAAGGAGCCCCACTTGTTTGCCACCCGAGTGCCCGGTGGGTGCAGCTCCCCAGAGCGGGCCTGGCCATACCCTTCACTACGGGGTCCCACGAGCCCCAACAGTGTGTGCCGACACATGACCATCCACCCCCTGCCCCCCGCCCCCCCCCAGCTGGAGTTTATCGGCACTGCCACAGGCCAGGTGCTGCTCTATCTACTGGGGACTCCAGGTGAATGGCACAGACAGGGCCTGCCGTCCGGCTAGCACTTGAGACCCCAAACCAGCACCCCGAGAGGCAGGCCGTCTGCAAGGGAGGGTCTGGCTGCCCTGACTTCGACTCGAGTGCGGACTGGGAACTGTCCAAGTCTCTCAGCAAAACTGCCAAGTAAGAGGTTGCTTTGGGGGCCCCTCCCCTGCCCTTTTTCCAGCAAACATTTATGGGCCATCGACACGGCAGGCCCGGCACAGGGTGTCCAGAAAGGAGCAGGGAACACCCCGGGCCTCGAGCCTGCGGTGAGTGGAATGAGTACACGTCAGTGAGAAAAATACAAAGGAGAGGCTGTACCTGCTCAGGCACAAGGACATTTGAGATGGGACTTGGAAGATGGGTCGGGAGGGTGGTGAGCAGACGAAACAGCAAGAACCAAGGCAAAGGGGCTGGAGAGCCAGAGGTCCCTGCGTCATCAACGAAGGGTACAAAGTGAGAAAGAACAAGAGGAAGCCTGGAGAGGTTACAGCGGGGTCAGATTATAAAAGGTCTTAACCCTTACCACTCCTCTGTGCGCCAGCCCTGGCTCATCATCTCCAGCAGTATCGAAGACTTTGGAACTTGCATTACTGTTCTGTCATAGACTGAATGTGTCTCCTCAACATTTATATGCTGAAAGCTGATCCTCCATGTGTATTTGCAGGTGGGGCCTCTGGGGGGGCGGGGAGGGGAGTGATTAACCCATCAGGTTGGAGCTCTCAGGAATAGAATCAGTGCCCTTCTGAAAGAGACTCCAGAGAGCTCCCTCGCCTCTTTCACCACGCAAGGACACACAGCAAAAAGCCAGCAGTCTGTAAACCAGACACGGAATCTGCCAGCGCCCTGAACTTGAACTTCCGGCCTCCGGAGCTTTAAGCAACACGTTGTTGTTGATTATAAGCACCCAGCCTCTGGTGTTTTAGGTATAGCAGCCCGGATGGACGAAGACACTCTCCTTCACTGCCCACGCCGCCAGGGCCTGTTCCGTCCCAACTGTCACCAAATGTCCATTTCACAGTGAGGGGTGAGTGACTGCTAACACATCCGGGCAGGTAGAAGACAGGTTTGTTTTGACATTTTCTTTACAAGTGTGATTTCCGGGCTTCCTCAAACTGCCCCGGGGAAGCCGGTGAGGTCTCAACTGTGTTTCCGTAGACAGCAGAGGCGTCCAAGAGACCTGGAGACCGATCCAGTCCTGGCTAGGGCCTTAGCATGAC